TTATTTTATGTATGTACCATCAAATTGGATCTGACTGGTACAGGAGGCGATTGTCCCTCCTTCTTCAGCAGAGCACCTGGTGGATTTGAAACGTGCACCTCTGGGATTGCAGTGCAGTTTCCTGCCACTAGGCCACCAGAGCTCGCCTCTTACTAATTTTTATACCTGTCTGTCTGTCTGTCTGTCTGTCTGTCTATCTATCTATCTATCTATCTACTTATCTATCATCATTGTTGTTGTGTACCATCCAGTTGGAACAGACCCACAGCTGACCCTTCAGTAGGTTTTCAGAGGCAGTTAATTGCACGAGAGGAAACTGCCCATTCTTCTCCCATAGAGCAGCTGGGGGATTTGAACTACACACTTTAGGGATTGCCGTGCAGATTCTTGCCACTAGGCCACCAGAACTCCCTCATGCAGCTGCTAACTTACCCACTTATCCACCTCTACACAGAGAAATCTAGAAAGCACATTTTCTTTTCCAAAGTAGGTCACCTAGTTATCTTTTCCCTCTTTAACCACATGGTGTATTCATTTTCCTAAAAGAGTGCATATAGACTTAAGTATTTATTAATATTTGCTCTATTAGTTTGATAAATATTTCCTTTATTAAAAGGTGTCAAGATGTTGAAGTTCCCTGTAACTCAAACAAAATAAAGACAATAATTACTGCATGTTAGTACTACATGTATGACTATATAACATCTATTAAAAAAGGTTTTTTTTGTTTTTCCAAAGATGTTAAGTGTAGCTATATTCACATTCCTGAATAAAAGAGAACAGAGTAAATTTCCCTAACTTACCAAAGGTCCATCTGCTCAGTGAACTATTATGAAGGTGTTAAAAACAAGGCATGGAAATCCATGTAACACCTTCCAAGAGTTCCTGTGCAGAGATATAGATAGCTGTAAGCTGACAACTATTTAACACAAACTCAACAAAGAAAGGAAACACCAGCAAATATCCCACATGGTCCCCCATTATGGGTAGAACCAACTATGCAAACAGGCATTTTTCATTTCTTTTTCTCTACTTGTCAAAACTTCTACAATAAATATATATTTACTTTCTAAGCGCAATCACCTGTACTTCAATACTAGAACAGAATGGAAATATTTCACTTAGTCTCCCGAGCACGGTAACTGATTCTCACTGGTAGCCAGGTGCACTCTTTGATCCTCTTCCTCACCGGAATGCATGAGGGTCAGACCTACAGCCAGAAGTGACGGACACCCCGTGTGGTCCACGAGCACAGTGAGGGCGGGTGCCCTGAAGACTACGGTTACACGCGTACACCGACCTCTGCTCAAATTACAGTGAGTCCCTGCTCTACAAACGTCCCACGACATACAGACATACAACCAAGCCAACCCCAGAGAACCCCAGAGAATGCTCATATCGCAAAGACTTGAGGTACAGATGCTGCTTGGTAAGAACAATGAGGAGAGATTTCATGATGTACATCCATGTGTTATTATTACTGTATAATTATTACTATTTTAAAGATATTTAGGTCTACCTGGAAGTGTTTCTTTAACATTCTTTTATGCACTGAAATGCCCACCACACATGAAAACCTGACTAAGTAAATAAGTCTCACTTTGGACATGTTTTCAAAAGTCAGTCCTTGAAGAGAGATGTCGTGCTGAGAAAACCAGAAGCTCAGCAAAAGGAACGCAGAGCCTACATGAGATGACTGACAGTGACCACCACCATAGGCTTGAGCACAATAAAGATTGCGAGGGCAGAACACAATGGGACGAGGGTCAGATCTGTTGTTCATGGAGTCACTATGAGTTGTGGTTGACCTGGTGACATCTAACAACCACCATCACCACCACCATCACCACAACCGTCACCGTCACCACCATCACCGTCACCACCACCACCACCACGGCTCCAGACAGTCCAGGGTCTAAGCAAACTTGAAATTTTGGTCTTCGCTGTCCCCATTTTGATCAGAATTCTTCTAAGAAATCTTTGATCAAAACGTGCTGTGATGGTAGCCAGGCAGCATCCAGTTCTTCTAGTTTTGGTGCTTATTTTTCATTTCAAACTCTGTTTTCCCCCTTTCAAGAATTTGTGTTGCATACTCTTTAGCATGAGCCATTTTCATTCCACCGTCCTTCACGATCCCTGAATTGAACAATTTCCCCCCCCCCAAACCTGTTTTATCCAACTCTCTAATGATGTCTGTTTTCTAGGTGTGCACATAAGACCTTAAAACTGACTTCTGCCAAGGTCTATGGCTGGTAGTGGCCACTGGAACTCCAACTGCATGCAAAAGCATCCAGGTCAGCTTTATACCTGCAACTGCCACTCAGCTTTCCTAGACACCTTCTCAGGACTTGGGCTGGGTACCTTTCACATGAATTCAAGTGTTGACATTAACCTTTGTGTGCACAGGTCTACTTTCATACAGAACTTTCACCTTTTTTCACTTGTGTTTTGTTTTTGGTTTTTACTTAGGATGTCTTGGCATTTCCTGGCTGAAGATATACAGTTTACTGCTGGAGCTCTGCTTAAGAAGCTACTTTTACTAGTAGAGCACATTCTGTGTTAGAAGATTATGATTCAAGATTGAAGCCCTGGGAAGAAACGCAATGAAGTAGGTCATTTCATCTGACAACAGTTCTGCCACAAACCAATGCCTTGTTAGTGCTGCATCCATGAAATCTGTCACATGTGATAAATAAAGACTTAGTGGGGGAAAAAACAAACCACCACACCAAACACTTACTTCCGAAAGTCTGCAAGTAACTTCAGCATATCGTCATTTGATAACTTATTGCTGTCTTGCTTATAGAGAGCAGAAAATCTGGCATTTTTGTCAAGGTTTCCAGATGTGTCCCTAAACAATGTCCTGAAACAGCAAAGAAACATTTCCAGATTAGCTTTTCAAAGGACCAAAATAAACCTATAACTTAACTCTGGTTGCTATGTGAAGAGGAATTTTATTCTACCAGCTATCACCAAGACAAATCTTATTATCTAAAAATATGGAACGTACTTATGAGATGAAAATAACTAACTCAATTTACACAGAAAATCGCTCCAGCAGATGACTGTGTTTAGGAAACAGCACACACAGTCCATTAGGTAGAGAAGTAGATATCACAAATGCAGGCTTTACTGGGCTGCAGCTCCGTCCTGGCTGGACATACACGAGGGGAACCTGAGAGCCTACCTCTGGAGCAAGCTTTCCTGCTGGTCAACCCTCCCACTTCCTATGTGGGGACCCGCCAGTCAGCATCCTTCCTCTGTAAGATGCTAACAAACTCTGAAAATCACTTCAGATTCAGAGACTACTACTTATTTTTTAGTTTTATACATTCTAATCTTCCTTTTCTCCCAATAACTCAAACGTTGTAGGTTAACTGGTCTATCTACCTATCTAACTGTAACCATGTGTCTCTCCCTCTACATCAATATATATTACATATATATGTGTGCGTGTGTGTGTGTATGTGTATGTGTGTATATATGTGTATATACACATACATGCTGCACCATATATGTAAGCATAACATATATGTCGTCTTCTATTTAAAAGGTAGGCAGGCCGCTCTTCTTACCTTGCTGCCCAAGCAAATGGCATTCTGTACTGTCCTAGTCTTTGGCATGCCTGCTTGGCATTCTTCAGCACCTTCTGGGCAACCTTGAAGACATCAGAATAAACTATGAGGTTTGACATCCTACTGACAGTATATAAAGGACCATCACCACACTGTCATTAAACAAACCATTAATTAGTATGATACCAGATGCACAGGAAATGCCCACCCTGCCCCCTTAATAGTAATGTGTATGTCTGGATTTCCACTCAGTACAACATATTTTATTTTAATGTATTTTCTAGCAGTGACTCTCAAAGAATAGGCTAAAACCTAGCATCCTAAGAGAATCTACTTGCTAGAACGATGACGGTTTCCAAAAATTCACCTCTTTTCATTGGCCTTCACAGGGAAGAGAACTTTATCTCATAGGCTCTTCTAGTTGGTTATGACTAAGGCTCATCTAAGACTCAAAAACCAAAACCAAGCCCACTTCCGTTGGTTTGCTTCTGACACGCAGCAACCCTTCAGCAAGTCTGTGAAGCTTTAAATCTTAATGGAAGATCCAGTCGTCTTTCAGTTAGCTCCCCAACACACCGCTCATTCGTAATTATTAACATCTGGTATTCATGCCAGATGAGAACGTATTACCAGCATTTAAGCAAACCCACTGTCATCAGGTCAATTTGAATTTAAAGTGTCCCGTGACTGGATATTATCTTTCTCTGGCAGAGGAGTTATTGGATGTGAAGGTTCAAGTCTCTCCAGATGTGCCTCAGAAAAAAAGCAAGAGCCTGGCTACAGTCTTCATCTTCCAGTAGCAAAATGCTATGATTTTATCGTAATCATGCTGGAGGAACTGCTGCCTTTGTGAATGCACCAGGAAACATAATCCTGTACAGAAAAAGGTCAAGAGGACATCTATCCAGTCCTTTCTTTTTAAGGACGAGACACCTGCATCTCTACAGGTTAGACAGTGGGGACTGGAGTGCATGTGGCCATTAAGTAAACTGGGCTTTTCTACTCAACTATTAGTCTTCCTTCATCATTTCAAGCAGATACTATTACTTTTAGATTTTAGTAACAAAGAGTATGTTCTCAAGGAAAATATAATACTTACATGAATTCTAAGTTTTAACAAAGGGTTTCAATGACGTCTCATTTTTCCCTGAAGTTAACATGGGCTGATGCCTCAGACTTACCAAAAATGCAAAGAGAATACACTACATATGAAAGCTGCATTATTTCCCCCCTCTGTTCTTCCTTTCCTCTCCTGCTCTCATTTATGCATGGTAAACGCCTATAAAACTTCATAAAATCTCCTGAATGCAAAACCTACTCCAAATGATGTTTGGGAGAACATGAAAGCTCTCATACGCAGGCGGAAGACATCCTCTAACTTTTCACATCTACTCTGACATTGAATCTTAATCGCCCCATTGATTGAAGGCTTTGAAAATGACAGGCAAATAAATGCATGCATGGAAGATCAAGGATAGAGATGAGCTTCCCACTCCATAAATAATGGAGAGAAAGAAGAGCTCAAGAGAACTCAGCAGACCGGGAAGCAGACAGTATCAAGTCTAATTGCACAGCAATCTGTCCTTGTAGCACCAATAGGAATGAGATGCCAGAGCTGAGACCGTGCTTGAAGCAGGCAACAGCACAAGAATGGTGCACAGGAACCTTGGACACATAAGGTGTGCACAGAGAGTCCAGTGGACTTAACTTAGGTCTTCACTGATTAACAATCAAAATATAAAAGAGCTGAAAGAGTTCCCCACCCCTCCCCTGCCATGTCTTTACAGGCCTGTTTTAAAGGATAAAACTCTTTATTTCGCTTTCATCAGCCCCAAAAACATATTGTTTGAAGTGATGTCCCTAAATGAATGGGTGTTTACTTGACAAGGCTTGTAACAAATGATGACAACATCTTTCATGTAGTCAGTGCTTTGAGGTGTTCACAGCATCTGTTTGTACAATATTTGTTTGATCCGCACAACATCCCAGTGGGGAAGACAGGGGAAGTAGTAACACATCGTTTATCTACAGAAGGGACATCTCGGGCTCACACAGGTGAAGTGATTGGTTCAAAGAACCCAGGTTAGTGAAACAGTGCACATCCAGGTCTTTTGACTCATAGGACCTGTTCTTTAAAGACCATCCTGAATCTTGATGAACTCACATATGATGGATGAGTGATCATAAAGATGAAGAAAGACTGTTCTCCATCAACTGAGTAGACCAAATTAGGGCCTCCGGGGGTCCACTCCTCCTTTTGACCAGCTCCTGACTCTTTCAACATATTAGGGTCCACATCTATGGTGGCCTCTTACAATAAATAGAAACAAATGAACACAATATACTGTAAACGGGCCTAGAAAACAGGACTCCACAACTTACACCCACTGGGTAGCTTATAGAAAGAAGCGATAAGTAAAATCCCTTTGACACCAGCTGTGTGACACTGTGTAGGTAACTACCTCTTTCTAAAACTCAACTTTCTAACGGATCTAAGGAGCAGAGGACTTCAAATAGCCTTCCTTATTCTAATATTCAATAATTCTGTATTATGTTCATACCCAGGCACTCCCCAAGTAGCTAACAATACTTCAAACATACATCTTGAATGTTTTCTTTCCTTCTTTTACCTAACTAAAGGTAACCCATCTCTGTGCTCAAACCCTGCTCCTCTGGACAAAAACAAGTGTCTCTGAATCACATTATGCAATCACTGCAGCAGAGAATGAGAGACATGGCATGCCAGAGAGCTGACCTTGGGACAGCTAGCCCATGGACCCAGAGCTGGGAGCCTTCAATCGAGGCTGTTGGAGGACTGCGGGAGAGAGTTATAATTAGCAGGACTGTGAGAATCATCAATGTAGGAAAACTGGACATTGTTAAGAAAGAAATGGAATGCATAAATATTGACATACTAGGTACTGGTGAAATGAGATGGCTTGGCATGGGACATTTTGAATCAGGTGATTATATGATTTACTATGCTGGAGATGAAAAGGTGAGAAAAAATGGGGTTGGATTCATAATTAAAAAATTCATTTCTAGATCTATCCTGAAATACAATGTGGTGAGCAACAGGATAATATCCATACACATACAAGGAAGTCCAGTGAATACCACTATCTTTCAAATATATGCACCAACAACTGGAATCAAAGAGGAGGAAATAGAAGATTTCTGCCAACTTTTGCAGTCAGAAATTGATCAAACCTGCAATCAAGATGCATTAATAATAATGGGTGACTGGAATGCAAAAGTTGGGAATAGGGAAGAAGGATCAGTAGCTGGAAAACGGGCTCAGAGAGAGAAACAAGGCTGGAGATAAATTATAGAGTTCTGCACATTCAATGATTTATTCATTGAAAATACCTTTTATAAGAAACATAAATGCAAAAAAAAAAAATAAAAGAAACATAAATGCAGGCTATACACATGGATCTCACCTGATGGTATGCATAGGAATCAAACAGATTACATTTGTGGAAAGATTCGCTAGAGAAGCTCAATATCAGCAGTGAAAACCAGGCCGGGTGCTGATTGTGGGACAGACCACCAATGACTCATATACAAATTCAAGCTGAAGTTGAGGAAAATTAAGTCAAGTCCACGGGAACCAAGATTTGACCTTAAGTCTGTCCCACTCGAATTTCAAAACCATCTCAGAAACAGGTTTGAGGCCTTGGCACCAATGAGGGTAGACCAAATGAGCTCTGGGAGGATATCAAGTAAATCGTCCATGAAGAATGCAAAAGATCATTACAAAGGCTAAAGAAGAAGAAAAGACCAAGATGGATGTCAGATGAGACTCTGGGTATTGCATTAGAGTGCCAAGAAGCCAAAGCTAAAGGAAGAAATCAAGAAATCAAGGAGCTGAGTAGAAAATTTCAAAAGGCAGCTCAGGATGACAAAGCAAGATATTATAATGAAATGTGCAGAGAGCTGGAGTCAGAATATCAAAAGGTCTGGACTCTCTCAGCATTTCTTTTTTTTAAAATTTTTTTATTTTATTTTATTTTTTTCTCAACATTTCTTAAGTTGAAGGAGTTGAAAAACAAATTCAAGCCACGGGTGGCAATACTTAGAGATAGTTTGGGTAGAATGTTGAATGATCCAGGATGTATAAAAAGATGGAAGGAATACACAGAGTAACTGTATCAGATGAAATTGGCTGACACAGAGGAATTTCATGAAATAATATATGAGCAAGAACCTATGGTGATGAAGGGGGAAGTTCAAGTTGCTATGAAGGAATTGGCAAAAAACAAGGCTCCAGGAGTTGAATGCATACCAACTGATTTATTTCAACAAATAGACGCTGCCCTGGATGTGCTCACTAAGTTGTGCCAGGAAATCTGCAGGACAGCCAGCTGGCCAACTGACTGGAAGAGATCGATTATTTGTTCCCATTCCAAAGAAAGGTGACCCAACAGAGTGTGGAAATTATCGAACAGTATCATTGATATCACATGCAAGCAAGATTCTGCTGAAAATTATACAAAAACGTTTGGAACAATACGTCAACAGAGAACTGCCAGATGTGCAGGCTGGATTCAGAAGAGGTTGCGGTACTAGGGATATTATACCTGATATAAGATGGATCTTGGCAGAAAGCAGAGAATACCAGAAGAATGTCTCTGTGCTTCATTGACTATGCAAAGGCTTTTGACTGTGTGGATCACAACAAGCTATCACTGACTCTGAGAAGAATAGGAATCCCAGATAATTTGATCGTGTAAATGCGAAACCTATACTTGGACCAAGAGGCAGTCGTCAGAACAGAGCAGAGAGAAACTGGATGGTTCAAAATCAAGAAAGGGGTCCGTCAGGAATGTATTTTGTCTCTATTCCTTTTCAATCTGTATGCAGAACAGATCATCTGAGAC